ATTACCTCTTAATACTCCCATGCCAGTAATAAACGTTGATGAGAAATGTCAACAATCAAAAAAAGGCAGGACAAGTAGGAATGCAGATCTTTCAGTAATGGAGGTTTGAGCCACGCCACCAGGTAAATAACCCCAAGTAACTGAAGTTTGGGCTGAGAGTGGGGGAAATATGGGATGGGAAGTAGAAGAGAGAAGCCATAAATATCAGTTATCATCTTGTGACCAATTACATGAAAGACGTTTGTAATAGCTCTTAATGTTTGTTACTTGTTTGTTATATGTATATGCTTATTTTTATTTGCTATTTTCTTTTTTTCCTTTTTGTTTTATATGCTAGTTGTTGCAAGTTAACTTTAGTATCTAGGAAACAGAATATTCAGCAGAACTGTGACTTAATTTGAAAAAAATTTAATATAACCAGCAATGAATCCAGTGAATGTTGGGACTTGCATCTCCTCATTTTAGGAAGAGAGTATGAGCATGTTCACTTCTAAGATGAATTGCTGTATACTAGGTGGAAATACAGGGTTTTTTAATGTATAGGAATGCAAACGTGTGTGGAGGGTGCATATAGGAGTTGGATAACCAAAGGAGTGTACATCAACAGTTATCAACTTATTGCCTTTCAGCTCTAAATTTATCCTTCATTGCCTGCTCTACATAAACGGATATGTGCCCTCCAAATATTTTTCTATTGCCAGTTGGCCAACTGTTACGTATTTTCAATCAGGGGCGCTAGAAAGACATTGCAAAAGGAGTTTTCCATTCTAGTTCCAGTGCACTCAGAACACGTAGTGCGCTAGCTCCTAAAGCACCAAGCTTCTGCAATGTAAGCACAGTACCAATGGCTGCGCCAGTACCTGGCTCCTGGAGCACCTATGGCTTTTCCAATGCCTTGTTTCTGTAGCACAAATTGCTTATCCAGAACCAAGTTCTTGCAGCATGGACAGCTTCTCTAGCATCTAGCTCCCGTAGTACACTGTGGCTAGCAGCACCCATCAGCCAACAACTTCCCCTTTTTTGTAGCAGAGTGCTTCTGGTGAGACTTTTCCATGAAGAATTTTTTTCAAAAGTCCTATAAAAGTTCTAGAGGGCATATTTCCAGCAAGTTCTGCTAGAATAGTACCACAGCAGCCTCTCTGGATCTGAGTGAGCTGTGGCTGTGCCCTTTCCAGCAGTTCTGGATCACACCCTTAGTGGGGTTTCTTCTTTGGACATTCTATCTCCACCCTAGGGGTAGTGGATCCTTCTTATAGCTGCTATTCCTATATTCTCTAGAGATCTATCTACTTCTTACTAGCCCATCCCCCATTACTCCAATCTCCTGTTATAGTTAGTTAGTAATTCTTTATATTTAACTTTCTCCTTTGAAGTTACTTTGTGTCCTAGTAGCAATGACCACACCAGCACCTAGATCTTGGTTTATATATACCACTCTACAATAAAAGGTACCAAGGTTCCTTTGAAAAATCGTTCATTTTAGGGCTGCAGCAGGAAAAATAAAAAATGAGCCTGGAATATCTTCTAGCACCAGAAAGTAAGAAAGCACTCAAAATCAAAAAGATGAGTCACGTCAAAGGGACACAATGGGTTGGGCGCAGTGGCTCACACCTGTAATCCCAGCATTTTTGGAGGCCGAGGTGGGTGGATCACCTGAGGTCAGGACTTCGAGACCAGCCTGGGCAACATGGTGAAACCCCATCTCTGCTAAAACTACAAAAATTAGCCAGGTATGGCAGCACAAGCCTGTAAGCCCAGCTACTAGGGAGGCTGAAGCATGAGAATTGCTTGAACCCAGGAGGCAGAGGCTGCAGTGAGCCAAAATCGTGCCATTGCACTCCAGCCTGGGCGACAGAGTGAGACTCTGTCTAAAAACAACAAAAAAGCACACAATGGCCAAAGCTGGAATGACCTGGGCAACAAAATACATTATGTAATACTGTTTTATAATCCAAAATGTCAAATCAATACACATGAGTCCTTATAAATAAATGTTTGAATAAATGCAGGAGAAGAAACAAATCTTCCTTACAGAAAAATTCCAAATAATATAGGCAGATATTCCTTTCTCAAAGACATGGAGCTTGAGTCCTGCCCTTCATTCCTAAAGGTAGGATAGACTTAGTTACTTGCTTCTACAGAGTAGAATACAGAAAGGAGAAAATTGTAACTTTATGTGGAGAAGCCTAGCACACTACCTCAACCAACTGATGAAGGTTAACCAAGTGATGACATCAGTGATGTCACATGGATATCATGATATGATGTGAAGAGAAAGAGTACTTCAACTCTGGTATTCTCTTCAAAACTCATAACCCATGTCTGATCATGAGAAAAACACCAGACAAACACAGACTGGGGAACATTCTACAGGATACCTGGCCAGTTCTCCTCTAGACTATCAATTTCAAGGTCATGAAAACAAGGAAAGACTGAGAAACTGTCACAGATCAGAAAAGACAGGGGAGACATGACAGTGAAATGTAGTGTGTTGGTCTGAGCTGGAATCTGGAAGAGAAAGAGGACATTAGTGCAAAAACTGATAAAATTCAAAGAACATCCGCAGCTGATTTAATAGTAATATACTACTGTCAGTTTCCCAGTTTTGACAAACTAATAATAATTTAAGAAGTTAACAATGGGGGAGGCTGGGTTTGAGCACACAGGAGCTCTGTACTATCTTTGCAACTTTTCTATAAGTCTAAAAGTATTCCAAAATAAAACAAATTTATACTTAAAAAATTTAAAAATTACTGTGGTTTCTGTCTCCTGATTGTACCATAAGTGATACAAGGAGCCTGTCTAATTATCAAAGCAATTATTTTATGGATCCAATGTACACCATCAAATTGATACATAACAATAACCAAAGAGGAGGGGAGATGGAAATAGAATCCTTTGAAATTAGGCCATTTAAACTCTGCTAAGTAGCACATTACTAGACAATAGATTTTGGTTCCAGAATTACCTGGTCAAGAATAAACAAAATGATACATTTCCTGATATTAGGCTGATTGCCACAGACAAAACCCAGATAGCAAGACCCATATTCTGGGTTCAGCTCAGAATATCATTCTTTACCTGCTTAAAAAGGTATCAGAAATGTTTTTCTCAGAACACCTTTAAACATTTCAGACATCTGTTCATGTTTATTTATGCTTTTGTTCATCATCAAGTCAAACATGAGTTGTAAAAATAAACTAAAAGTTGCCTCAGTATCATATTTCAGTGTTACAAGAACATCTGTTCTCAGAATTCTAGAGTCTCCATTAAACTCCAAAATAAAGCACAGTTTATTTTCTAGAAGGTCCTAATCAGTTCTAGAGAGTCTGAAACCCATGTAGGCTTTTGTTTTGCTTACACAAACACTCTTCAGTCTGAGCCCTCAGCTCAAGGTAGTCTGCAGTTTTTAGGAGACAAAGTATGAATACAACTGAAGTTATTCTGTAGCTTTTTTGTCCTGGAATTAGTGGCAAACCACATAGTTTCAAATGACGAATATGCCCACTCTTCCCTATCCCACTAGTTTATAATAATGTTATTTTTCTTCAAGATGTCTAGGCACAACTGATTTTTAAACTGGAAAAGTTAATGAAAGCAACATCACATTTGAGGTCAGTCGGCCAGAAAAATGGACATGAGCCAAATCCCACATCCCAAACATTTTGCCTCAATGGCGTGTGAACAAAATGCCCACTCTCCTCCTGATTTCCAACAGAAGCAAAACAAAACCCTGCAAGACAGTTTTTCCCTGGAATTGAGAAGCCTGTCAGGGGCAGAAAGACACACACACACACACACACACACACACACACTCCCAGTCACTGTTTAAGGTACAGTAAAAAGGCTCTTTCACACCAAGCGTTCTGTGCACAGACGGCACAAGGGCTTCCCCTGGAGATGCTGCTTCAAGGAGAGCCAAGAGATCACAAGTCCGAAACAAGTAGTCCTAGCAAGATAAATAATCTCCCCAATTCCAAAGTAAGCAAGTAAAAATTTTTAAAATCAGCTTATTGAAATAAGTCCATTCAGACTAATATCAAAAAATTCCTTGATGGCAATGAAGAGAAATTTGTGCTGTCATGCGAACTTGCTAACTTTTTAAAACGATTGTTTCCTTTTTCTAAACGTAATGTTTCACGCATTACAATTTAGTTGCACTTTAATTCCTTCTCACGTTTCTCAAGGCGAAAAAAGAAGTATAAAGGAAAAGGAAGTGGATGCAATTACGTGCACAGCAACAAGTTAGCCAGAAGATTTTGGTTTAAACTGTGAAATTTAGAAAAGCAACTGTATTACATGACATTCCATGATACAATCTTTACGATAATGAATATGAAATGTTAAGTGTAGATTGCTTTGAGTCCAAAATGCCATCATTTTAGAATTATAATTCTAACACAATGGAGACCAATGATACACTATGTTAGGAATTGATTTAACAAGTACCAAAATGTTCATGAATTTTCATTTATTACAGATAAGTCTCCCGAAAGTTATCTGAACAAGTACTCATTATTTGTATCTCAGAATTCAGAGACAAAAAGATATGTTAGCATCAAAAATACCAATTTCATTTCTGAGTTAAAAACCAACAGGTGGTAAATTTTAACCACCAAGAAATTTTCTTGGAGAAATCAACAGGTAAAAACAGAAGTTAGGATACAATAGCTATGTTACCACAACTGCCTTACTGAAGTAAGGAGCCTAAATTGTGGACCCTACTCTAGAAAATGCATTCACATCCACAGAAGTATGAGCTGTTGTATGATTGCGGAAATTTCCTTCTTTCCAAGAACTTTTTGTTATACTTAATTAACAAATAATGTATATGTACATGTACAGATTTAAAAGAAACTGTATGACTGAGATGGACGTGGCATTCACACTACGCTCTGTGTAGGGATGAAGAGGGAAAGCATGACCCAGGGTCATCTGCAGACAAGGAGGCCCCTACAGCAAAAACATCCCGAGACGGACAACAGCAGGTGGAAACTTACCACTGGAGCAGTTGGTCCCTCCCCAGCCAGGCTCACACTGACAGGTGTTTGGAGCAATACAGCGACCGTGGACACATTTATCAGCACAGTGGGCTGTCAGAGAGAAAATCAATCAAATAAAGAAAGTTGGCACAAGAAAAAAAAAGCCAACAACACAGCTGTTGCACATCCAAGTCTCAAGTATCACTTAAAAACAACATGCATGCTTGATAATTTTCTTCAATCCATTCCTCAGCCCTCTTACAGTCTGCTGTAGGACCAAACAATTCCCCATCTTATTTTAGTATTACCAAATAAATCCCATCATTTCTACTATTCTATTCTACTTCATGCTAAATTAGAAAAGACATTTCAAGGAAAATTGCCTAATTCACTCTTTAAAAAAATTATCAGTGAGTATCAAATACATCCTTTTTGTGTCAGAAGGAGCCTATGTGGAGAAACAAACCACAAAGCAGGATATCAGGGCCTCAGAGTGACAGAGTGGATGGGGAGTATTATGATTATGTATTATGATTTTTTTTACTAATACATTCACCAGAAACTATAGTCACACTTCTTTGTGAACACGTTATTCACAACTGTGACACAGCAGAATTGCTTGCTCTTTTTCTGTTGAGGAGAATATTTGAAAAATGCCACCCAGGTCTTTGGAAAACAGTAAATCTCAATGCTCTTTCATTAGTAAATATCTTCGGTGTACTCTACCCTTGCAGACAAAGGGGCATCACTGCAAACGTGAGTGAATGGACAGTCTGATGATTTCCAAAATAGGCATTAAAATATGCTGTGCCAAATCTTAGCATTATCATCAACTTTAGTACCATGCACATTGGTTAAACATTATTTAAAATATCTGGATATATGCATAATTGTGAGAACAACTTAAAGGGTTTGGGGTTCAGATATTCTAAAATTTTATTTAAGGGTGGTATGAGATGCTATGTACTTTAGAGATGCATTTTATTAGTGCATGTCTTATTACAAAAGACTTACTGCCCAAATATATAAAACACCAATAAGTAAAATAAGCCTTATCTCCAGTAGCTCAAACTGGTAACATTTTTGTGGATGTAGAACCTTCAGGAATTTTTTCCTACATATTTTTCTCCTCAAAAAAATAGAATCATATTTTTCAATGTGCTTTTCCACTTAATATAATGACAATAATATTTCCATGCATTAGTATTAATATATGTGATTTATGCACTAAGGTGTATGTTTAATATGTGTGTGTATATATGTATATATACACATGTGCACACACACACAGTGCATATATATTGCTGAACCATAAATGACTACTTCTAAGGTCTTGATCATAAGATTGAGACATGAAGATATATAAGGGTGGGCATTTTAGGTGAAGAGAAAGCAAAAGCAACAGGTAAAAAGAAAAACAAATGAAATAAGTTATGTTGGGGGCAGTGTTTGGGGCAATAGCTTTGCAAGGTAGAGAGAGAGACTCTGAAACCCAAATTAAGGTATTGGGACTTTATTATGAGAATTCGCTAGGAGTAGTTTAATGAAAAGTATAGATTTGTTATAAGAAACCTACAGGGAGATGACACCACAATGAAATAAAGTGGCCATAAATTTTGGAAAATACAAGCTTTCTTGCTCTCATCAGAATAACTCTTTAGCACCTAGGCGATTTAGTGAGGAATACCAGGACTGGTGAGCTTGGGACTCTGGTCCAGCGTAGAATATTCTGATACTAGAATTTGAAGGAAGTGCTTAGCAACCTCATAATATTTGAGTCAATTACATATTTCACTGTAATTAAAAGCAGAACTTGCCTGTAACATATGAACACACTGGCCCTGCATTATTTTGATTTTTGCTGCCAAGTTAAGTCAATATGTGCCAACTTCAGGGTTCAGTGTCTCCTTCCACCTCTAGGTTTGTGTTTGAACTTGTAGATGTCATTCATTTGTAAGCACAAGGTACTGTTCTTTTGTTAAAATTTAGGTATGTACAGTGCAGGGTATGCTCTGGATGCTATCTCACATTGTGTTCAATGGCAGCATGGGTACAGAGGACTCTTCCACCAGTGAGAGCTCTGGCACCCACTGTAAATACGTCAAAACAAGAGGATTTGCCTCCCACTTGTCTTAGGTACTGATGGCATCTATGTTTGCAACTATTACAGTGAACAGCCTTCGGACCCAAGTTTACCAATTATCCTTCTTCAACATAGTAAAGCTACTAAAATTCTGTTTGAATATTTCCAGAAGTTTTAAAAATTAGATACTCTTTGCCTTTAATGTGAAACAAGACTTCTTTGACACTGTGCATTTAAAACAAAACACAGAAATTGAATGTAGTGGCTGATGAAAGGAAGTATTCTCCATATTCTTGAATTTCAAACTTTTAACAGTGTAGTTCCCACAAATTAACTTCATACTAAAGAAATTTTATAAATGTTCATTTATATGGTAGATTTATATTAATACGACTTAAATTGTTTTTTATCTTGGGCATCTATGTAAGATTTTATTGGACAAAATAATTAATATTATCATTTGAGAATTTGAAAACTTCTGGGTACTCAAAAAGCTGGATTCCATCAGAGCAACCTAGAGTTTTGTATTCATCTGGCAAGGAGCTAGCTATGAGGGGAGAATTTTTCCGGTTTTCTATGGACAGGTCTCAATTTGCTGCTCTCCCTTTGTTCTCTATCCTTTCATTTTTTCACCTTTTATCTTCATTTTCACTTTTTACCACTCGACTCGTCTTTCTCTCCCACACACTACTTATTTGATATACACCATAGAAGCTGGAGATTAAAATTTGGTTTTAATTGTAGTTGTGTTGACTCTTAACTCCAGGGTGACACCAAATGAGTTCCGCCTGAATCAACTGGTAAGAAAGGTAAGATTGAGCAAGCCAGCCTAGCACTTTGCTCTAATACCAAGCTAGCACTTATTAGAATGGGTAAATAAATGCATAAGTTAAGCATATGTTCCAGGGAACTAAGAATCAGAATTGCATTTGGTTGGATCCCAATCCATTGTTTTTTTGTTGCTCTTATTTTGTTAACTCCAAAAAAGATAATAAGTAGATTTCTATGTGCAGAATCAAAGGAGACCTGCTTCAGAACACTTTGAGATTGCTCGATAATCACACAATGTTCTTATGTGTGATTCTCGATAGTGCAAACTTTGTGTTTTATGAAATGAATTCCAAGAAGTTCAGTTAATTATAATAATTTTTTTAAATCCGTGATGGTAATTTTAAAATACGGATTACATTTATGAAAACCTTGAGCTAACATTTGGCCAAAGTCTGAAACAAAATGTGGATGTGTCATTAGCAGAAAACAAATTTGCCTGTAAGTTAATTAGGAATTGGAAGAGGGAATCTGCTTCCCTAATGATTTATTTTTTCTTAATTAAAGCTAAAGCCAATGGAATCACCTCTGCGCATTGATGCCTAAAGACAAATAATGATCTAAATGATAAGAAATATTGTTGGGATGGAGTCTAAAAGGAAAGAACACAAAATCCTACTTCTATGATGGAGAATCTTCACACATTAGGCTCCCTTATACAAGTGCCATCTCTGCTCCATGCCCTTTTCCACCATCTCTGGGCTCTCCACATCCAGCAACAAACCTCATCAAAGATGGAAAAGAGCAAAGGGAAGCAACAGAGGAGGACAGAGTAAGCTATAGACCTCTCTATATTCTCTAATGTGCTAACTCACCTAAGTGCAGAAACACTGACTATGGCACATGCATGACACAGATGCCCACTCCACCACCAAGAGATTAGCTGAGTTCAATTACTACCTTGGTCTTACCTCCCCCATTTAGCTTCAGATGTCACCTACTCTGGGTGTTGCTTCTATAACTAACATGCTCCACATGAAAACCCAATGTAGGCTAAAGACATTAATTGTTCATGTAGAAAACCCCAAAGTGAACTAGAAAAGATAAAAAGGAACAGAGGTCCACTTAGCAAATGTTCAGTAGCTGAGATACAAAGAATAGGTACAAAGGAACCATTATAAGTGCGGCTGTCCCATGAATGGGAATAGATATTTTATTCCCTACCCATGTCCTTTCTTCTTATTTTTAAAAGGGCAATTAAAACTAGAATAACCCAAGCAAAGATAATCTATCTAATATGATTTCTTTTCTGCACCCATCTTTAAGAAAATCATTAAATATCATATTCTGAGTCTGAATCTTTTTTAGAGGCCAGACATAAGCTGAATCTCAACCTGCACTCAGTATGCTCCTTCAGACACAGCAAGCTGCACGGGGCAGCCAAGATGTCTTTTCCCTCAGGAACTAGGAGGCAAGAGACACTGATGAGAAGAACAGGCCATGTCTTTGAAGCGAAAGCTGTGGACACTCTGTCTGCCTGATGGACAGGTGGGCACTGACATGATGACCCTGGAATCTTCTCTAATTAGGCTCCTCTTTCAGTCTTAGTTCCTAAATCCATTTAAATCCCATTACCAATGACATGGACCTCATTCCTTTTACTTGTAAATACTTGGCTTTAATACTGACAACCATTAACTATACTCAATAGTTTTTCTTCTGCCACATACAATTCCCTTTGGATTTTCACCTAGGGATGCCAAAAAAGTAAAAGGAGGAGTAGACAGACTAAAGACTTCTTTATAAACCAATTATATCTCTAAAGACAGTATATACCATTGTCTTAAAGAATATAATATATTTATTTAAATTAATATGGAAAATGTTTCCAGAATCAAAATAGTTCTTGAAAACAACTGTCCAATAGAGACACAAACCTTCCAGCTAACCTATCTGTCCCCAGAAATTCCTTTTATGCTGATGTTATGAGCAAAGAGTGGAAGTCACAAATCTTATTTTCTCTCATTTATTCTCTGAGTTGCTACAGAGGAATATAGAGTTTTAGAGTTAAACGTGCCTTTACTGAGCATCATTCCTGCATTTTTCAGATGAGAAAACAGATCAGGAAAATGGGTACTTTCCCCAATATTGACAGTTGGTATTAAACCCAGGTCCCTGACTCCCAGTGGACCAAAATGTAAGATGGATTTTAATGGAAGTGAGAGGGAGCAGGGGTGAAAAGGATGATAGAGGGTGTTCT